GTCGCCCGCGACCCTCCCTTACCCGATCGGCGAGCGCGCCCCCGTACACGCCTCCCCTAGGGAGCCCATATATCCTTACGATGAGAGACCCGCGAAGAGAGCGCGCTCCGAGGTGTACGGCTCTCCGCAGTATGGGCAGTCTCAGTCGAGACCGGCTACGAGCCACATCCCGGGCTGGTCCTATAGCGTCGAGCACACGGCCAACGGCGGCAATGGCATGCATCATATCAGCGCCGTGCCTGATGACCGACGTGCTGAAGCTGAGCTGCTGCTCGATTTCTTCACGGCAGCTACAACGCAGCTTGCGCAGTCTCCGCCCTCGACAGCAAAGCGGTTGGTCTTTTCACAATCAGCGCCAGCCGAGCAGCCTTCACAACTTCTACAACATTCGCAAACAGTACAACAAATACAACATAAGCAAGCGCCCGAAAATCCTTTTCTAGCGCCTCCGCCGCCACCACCGTCATCCGACCACTACAGCCAACCTACGCAGGCACCCGTCGACCTGAAACACCCTTTAGACGCACCCTCCGACATAGCCCAGACCGCCTCGGCTGCGCAAACACATACGCCGCCTGAAGAAGCTCCTACTATCGTTACACAGCCTGAGATGCAAGATGCCGTGCCGTCAGAAGAGCCAAAGGCGAAAAAAGGACAGGGCTTGCCGAAAGGGAAGGCGCGCGCCTCTCGTAGCACCCCTTCAGCAAGCAGCAAACGGAAGAAGTCGACTCCCAAGCCCAGAAATGCGCCATCCACAAGTACTTCTGGAGCCCCGGAACAGCTTCAGTCGCCGCTGAGTCTGCCCGCCGACCAGTCTGCTGCGGTCCCAACGGACAGCTCCATTCCCACGGTACCTCTAGCTGGACCAGCCCAAACCTCGCCCTCGCAAGCACGTCGTCATTCCTTCTCAATATCCGCTCCACCAATACCAGATGACCAGCCGCTCTCGACTTACTCACGAGCCAAATCACTACCTCTTGGGAACCAAGCAGTCGCCCCTGCTCCTACCGCTACTGTCGCGCAGCCTGCGCCCGCTCCAGCCGAACCAGAACTTATCTGCGCCCATTGCAAATCGTCCGAATCACTTACCAAAATCGGCGACGGCGAGCAATGGATCGGCTGCGATGGCTGCAAAGAGTGGTATCACTACCCTTGCGCTGGTTTCAACAGCGAACGGGAGGTACGGGAGGTAAACAAATTCTACTGCGAACCGTGTAGACCCAAGTTTGGTGAAACAACGAGTAGGTCTACCGACGCACATTGGGCTTATAGTTCTAACATGGTCCAGAGGTTCGTAAATCCGTCAGAGCCCACACAACTGTTGACTACGCTGGTCTAAACGAGGGTGTTCTCAAGACCTCAGACGATAACCCGGAGCACCACTATATTTCAGCTTTCAAGAATGGCGACATCGAATTTACCCCCGAGACCTTTGCGCGTGTCCCGGCCCAGCTCATCACCGGCGACTTCCTCGAGAAGATGAACGGGTTCAAGGAGCCGATTGTGATTCCTGGCTACATGAACCCTTCGGCGGTGTCAACGGAGGAAGACATTGTCATGGGAAACACTGAGGGGCAAGGAGACGGGTCAGGATCACACGCTGGGTACGATACAGTCGCCGACGACGGTCAAGACAGTTTGGATATGGTCATACCCAAGGGTCTGACGGTTCGCCGCGTGGCGGAACTCTACGGCCCAAACGAACCCGTTCCCGTCATCGACGTCAAAGCACAAGAAGGCGAAGGCAAGAAGTGGACCATGGGGAAGTGGGCCGACTACTACGAGCAACAAGGAGAAAAGCCAGTACGGAATGTCATCAGTCTAGAGGTATCTCGAAGCAGGCTCGGGAAGCTCATACGGCGGCCCAAAGCTGTTCGAGACATGGACCTCCAAGATTCCGTGTGGCGGGAGGATGATAAGTCTGCGCCGCCCCCAGTGCAGTTCTACTGCCTTATGTCTGTCGCGGACTGCTTCACTGACTTCCACATCGACTTTGGCGGTTCATCCGTCTACTACCACATCGTCAAGGGAAAGAAGGTCTTCTTCTTCATCCCACCCACAAAGCAAAACCTCAAGAAATACGAAGACTGGTGTCTTTCTCCAAATCAAGGACACGACTGGCTTGGCAAACAGGTCAAGGAATGTTACCGAGTAGATCTGTACCCTGGGGATACCATGTTGATTCCTTCTGGCTGGATCCACGCAGTCTGGACTCCCGAGGACAGCCTCGTCATCGGCGGTAACTTCCTCACCCGCATCCATTATGGCATGCAGATCAAGATTCTGGAAATCGAGAAGAACACCAAGGTGGCTTTGCAATTTCGGTATCCGTTCTTCCAGAAGATAATGTGGTTGACAGCCATCAAATACTTGGAAGAAGATCCAATTCCTGGTCCAGTTCAAGAGCTTCTGCAAAGCGGCGAGCAGTTCACACGGGACACACCCATCTACTGCGAGCCGGACAGGTTCGGTCACAACTCGCACCTCGGCGCACAGAACTACAACAAACGATACTACTCCAAGCACGAACTTGAAGGACTGAGCGATCTTTTGAACTACATTTGGAGAACTGTTTTGATCACCGAAGGAAAGATTGATGTGCCTCAAAAGACCCGTAGTGCTGTCAACAAGTCGATTCCCAAGGGCCATGGCGAGCCGCTTGTGCTAGCCCGACGCTTTGCGATGTGGATCACATGGAAGCGCGGGAACGAGACCATACCATCTTGGGCCTTCTCTGATGCTGTTCTTCCCGAAGTGATGGAGACCACAGAGAAGAAGCTCAGTGCTGCACAGGTTAAGAGACTGGAGCGTGAGACGCTCCATGAAGCCTTACGAGCGACGGCAGAGAGGTCTTCGGCACGCATCAAAGCCTCTGATGTGATCCCCGAGCCTTCGCCGCCCGTCGAAGTGGAGAACTACAATTACGAAATGGTGCCTGTAACGTCCGGGCCATTGACTGGTTTCCTACGACCGTCGGCAAACAACCCTCACATCACCACACCCAAAACATCTCAGCTTGGACCCAAACGTGTTGCATGCGATGCATGTAGGAAGCGCCGTATCCGATGCAAACACAAAGACGAGCTTATTGATACATCGAAGCCGGGCATGCACACCATCGATCTCTCTGGCTCATACGGCATATCTGTCAAACGGCGGCTTAGCGATCACTCTGTTGCAGATAGCTTGTCAAACGCCGCTAATGGGCCAGTGAATGGCGGGCCAATCATGGCTGATGTCAACGGCGACCCATATGCACTCAAGTCTGGCAGAGTCAAGGCTTGTGCGGACTGTAGGAAGAGCAAGCGTCGATGCATACACGATGAATACGGCAACGTCGATCCTGTCAAGGCCAACGAGATCCCCATTCCGCGGGGGTCAGCTTCAAAGAAACGAAGAGTCAGCGATGAGGACTCAGGATCGACAGCGAAGCGGATGAGACACGAATCTTCATACGACGACGAATATCTGCATGGAGACATGCACGCGCGACATTCTCTTCCGAACCAGTTCAGTAGCGGTTCGTCTTTCCTCCAAGAGATGGCTTATTCTGCCCAGCAAGCGCTGGATCAAAGTCCCGAGAATGACGATCTAGTTCCCGTTGATCCTGCCCTCCAAGCATATACGAACGGCGACTACAGCCATGACGTAGCGAACTCGTACCACCCAAACGGCGATACGGTCATGTCGTCAGTTGAGTATCAGCCAACCGATCCGATGCTCATGGATGAAATGGAACCAACTGGCCGCAACGGCGAAGTCCATGGTCCTAGCATAGAGCCGCTCACGCCTGGTCCGCCACCACACAACGATACTGCGCAGACGCACACGAACGGCTTCACATCAAAGCCCGGATCAGAACACCACGCTGTTCGCAACCCATCCTCACCCGTCTCGCCAAGACATGTCTCCGCTGCATCACCCACAGCGACCAACAACCACCACACTTACAACCCATACATTACCTCCCCGGCCACAAACACCTACAACAACTTCACCACAAACTCTGACTTCCCTCCCCCACCCGTCACGCCCACACTCAACAACACATACAAAGCCCGTACCCAGAACTCCTCTGGCCGCAAAGCCAGTCAAACGCCCTCCCGCGCTGGCCGCAATAGCAAAACACCCAAATCCACACCTAGCAAGCGGCAAGAAAACGGCAATGGCAATGGCATCAAACTCGAACACGGCATGAGTATGGGAACAGGCATGGGCATCGGCGTGGGCATGAATGGAGGCATGAATGTTCCCATGGGAAGCATGATCAACATGATCGACCCCAACCTCGACCAAGCAAGTTTCGATCTGATCAAGCAGCTACAACAGGAGGATTTGGGATTACGGAGGCGGAGTCGTTAAGCACATCGTACAACACCACACCATTTCTTGGCACTACTTCACTATCATTGGAGATGTTCTCCTCCCTTTTCCTTGATTTTTCCACATCATTTTCTGTTTTGTCTTGTCTTGCATCAATTCGGTCAACGGCGTTCGAACATGTCCAACGTTATGGGGACAACGGGACTTGCGCGGCGTTTACTACTTCCTTGTTAGGAGGTCTTTGCTTATACCCAACTATCTGACACTGGGATAGTGTACATTGCACGTCATTTCTTTCTTGTTTTCCGTGTTACGTAGTCGATGGAGGGCAGAGGGGAGGAGAGTCAAGGCGTTTTTGACACCCAGTCAGCCAGCATGGATTGCGGCTCTTTCCTTTTTCAGTTATTGGCTCGGTCTTGGGGGTTGCATGCATAGTATCATAGATAATGGTGACTAGTCGCGTATGATTTGGTAATGCAAATGCACACCTGTTCACAAAATGTTCTCCCTGCCTACATCGTGAGAGAAATGCTCTGATATTCCGTTATGTCATTGGACATGTCTAAGTCGTGATTTGAGTGACCTGCTACACTATAGCATTCATGGGCCATGTAAGACCTACTCCACGCAGTATCCGCATGCCAGGTTTTCACTCCTGCTCTCTCCCTCACCACAATCTACTCCAACGCACTAGTCACATTCGAGAACTCGCCCTTCTTAAGCTTCGTCTCCCAGAAAATCGGATTCGTATCGTTGAAGCCGTGCTTGACCCAGCCGTCCTCCTTGACATGGTACAAGTTGATGAAACCACCAGAGTACGCGTCGCGATGGGTAGCAGCGAGAATACTCCTCCTGCCCAGCTCGAGCGCCTCGTCGTCTTCCAATTCGTACTTGTACTGTGCGTCGAGCACACCGTAGGCGAAGGTCTGTCCGGAACCGACACAGAAGAGGTTGCCGGCGAGGCGCGTGCCGTCGCTGTCGATGTAGTAGAGGGCGGGGCCTTCTTGCGGGGTTACGCCTGCGCACATTGTTCCCTGGGGAGGGGGTTAGATGTGAGAGAGGATGGAGGGGAGGTGGGAAAGACGTACCATACTCAGACCCATACCCTTGTATGAGTAGACGAGGTTGGCGAGGATCTTGGAGGCTGCGGCGACGGAGATACGGCGCTTGTGGCGGAGCTCGTGGAGGCGGCATTGCATTCCGAGGTATGCGAGCCAGTATTGGCAGTCCTGCCGCATGTCAGTACTTCCCTTCCCTTCACACTCCTTCTAGTATTTGTCCTGTACGTACAGCAGCGCCACCAGCCATGGTTCCCAACAAGCAGTTGTTGATCTCAATGACCTTCTTGACCGTCTGACTGGCTATCCAGTTTCCAGCCGTCGCACGCGAATCGGTGGCTACGATGATGCCGCCCTTGAAGCGGAAGGCGAGGGTTGTGGTTCCGTGGGCGATCTTGATGGGGCAGTTTGGGTTGGAGTAGTCGTCCGTCATTGCGCGGAGCCATGATGCTGACTATGGGGTCGTCAGTACATTCCACTCCTCATAGGCCATAGTGAAGGAATAGCGCACCTGAGCTACTGGTGGTAGGGCAAACTTGAGAGACAGCTCTGGGGTGCCGCTGTAGAGCTGCAGCTGCTCCTCCTCGGACGGGCCTTCCTCTGTATACGCCGGTCGGCTGTACTGCGATACTAATGAATCCATAATTGCGACGGTGTGTATTGGCGGGATTCAGAGGGTATCGGAAACGTGATCGAGTGGTTGGGGTGGGGTTGTTTGATTGTTTGACGTGGTGATGTGAGCTCGAAGCTCCGGCGTTGTCGGTAATGCCAAGACATAGCCGCGTCCTAGCTGTTGCCTTCACCAGTCCGGTGGATCAGCGCCAATGACCTACACTACAACCTGCGCACTTTCGAGCTGTTCTTTCGCGTAGACTCTACGATGAGTGATGAGCGCTATCGCTTGCTTCCTTGCTATGGCTACGTCTTCCTCTTTAGTACTGGGCTCCCAGTGATCGCCACTCATGCAAGCAGCGATGCTCAGTACCGCGCGCCTGGCGTGCGTCATCGCCTTTATCGCAATAGCATCTACTCTATTTAACCAAAGACCAGGAATGCGATCATGCCCACAGGCATGCGCATGCGCAAAGAGTGTAGAGATATCTGCAGTCATGCCGCTACACACAGCGACGGATCAGCGTGGCGCAGACGCATCGCAAGAGAAGAATATGCCATCGGAAGGACTATTGCACGACCTTAACACATCTCTACATACGTCATCAGGTCCTACAAGCTCCCGCATCGCGCAAGTCAGGAACGGGCGTTGGGGCTCAAGCGTCACATGCCGCTCGTTGAGACTTGAGGTCAGGCAAGACATGGCGCCGGCCCACGCGCGCATCTCGCACCCATGTCAGCCTCAGTCACTCGCCCAGCGGACATGAACACATGTTTGCATTGCCTATATGCAGGCACCAGCAACAATCATGCAGGCACCGTTTTCACTCACTCTGTCTCATTTGTCCTCTCACGTATAAGCATACGTGCGGCCCGCGTGCAGGTCCGGCGCAGCGTGCGTGATAGTAGCAAATGATCGTCGAGGGCAACAGTATATACATAGGTGGCCGCCATCAAGAGAAGGAGTGCGGAAGGATCTGATCATATGTACATTGTGTGTCAGCCATAGGATAAAGTACCGCCTTCACCCCATTGTCTGCTCTTCTTTCAAGTCTTCTGAATGCCCCGTTACGACACTACACCTTATTCGTACTATCAACCTTCGCGACCACCTTCAACTTACGCCCCATCTTTTTCACACACTGCTTACCATCGTATTGCCCCGCCCACACGACTCTACCCCTTGCCCGCGCGCATCGATTCCGGCGTTGATCTCTCCTCGCCGCGCACCAGAAATGTGCTGGTTCACCCTCACACCAGCCAAAGGCAAAAAGCAACAGCGCCCTTCTACCGACTCTTCATGTGCGGAGGAACTCGTTCGCGTTCGCCGTAGTCCAGCGTCGCCGCGTTTCAGCGACGTCCGCGTCAGAGTACCGAGTATGAGCCTCGAGGTGGAGGAAGGGGGTGGTCAAGATCACGTGCACTTCGACGCGCACCTGAACCACCACCACAGACACCCTCATCTACATCCACTACTCATGCATCCGATTCATGGTCACAGCCACCACCACCACGGACTCGGCATAGTCGACATCAAAGAAGGCCACCTCCGCGGCTCGGGCAGGAAACGCAGCATCTCATCCCCCTGTCCTCCACCTCCAACCCGCGAACCATCACGTTGCCCACCACCATCCCGCCCCCGCGAACCCACCTATCACACCCAAATCGTCGAGCCTAGGGTATCAACAACCACAGTCCGGGAAAACACCCGCACAGCCCTCCGCAACGTCCAACAAGAGCGGACCCGAGGAACCTTACGCAGAGTAGCCGGTTACGAAGCCTTGAGCAAGAGCATGCCGTGGGATTGGGATTGCGTGAGTAGTACTGTAGGGAGTAGTGCGAGTGGGGGTGGGAGGTGGATGAGGAGGAGGAAACCGAGTGGGTTGAAGTATCCGCCGTTTGGGAGTATGGATCGTTGGCTTTGACGCATTTTCTTATGTTTGGGTCTTGTGTTGGAGTTTGAGGTTGGAGCGAGTAGTCTCAATGATTGTGTTTTGTTATATACCCTGCCCTCAATTTCATACCCTCTTCTCGATGTATACTGGCCATGAATGCGGGACAACCGTGAAGTAGGCTTTCCACTGCCAGTCTTGTGTAGGGTCTACTTGCTTGATCTTGTAGTCTCTGACTAACGTCGCTGCGATCTTCGCGAGTTCAATCTTAGCGATGTTTTGGCCTGGACAGCCGCCGTAACCTGCACCAAACTACGGAGACAGTCAGCATGCACACAAAGATGCTGTTGTGCAATCAGTACGGAGACAGATATAACCTACAGGTATCCAATACTTCTCCTTCGTAGTGCTATCCTCTGCTAACCAGCGATCTGGATTGAACACATGCGCATCGGCACCCCAAATCTCCTTCGAGTAGTGCATCACCCATGCTGTAGTTTGATGTCAGCATGGTCAATAAAGCATATTATCGAAGTTCCTTCACTTACGATTGATTGATACGATCGTATTCTCGGGTATAGTGCGATCGCCAAACGTCAAGCCTCCCTTAGGCGCTATACGCGGAAGACCCATGGGCACTGGACCGAAGATGCGAAGCGCTTCTTTTACGCAGGCTTGTACGAAACTGCTCAATATCAGCTTCACATCACTTCAGATCGCGAGGCTTAAAGGAATGTTCTTACACAAGCTGCTGTGTATCAGCATAAGATACCACCCGATCCCCGCACAATCCCTTCTCTACTGCTTTCACAACCTCCTCATGCGCTCGCTCCCACGCATTCTCATGCCGAATCATATGATAAATAAAAGACTGTATCCCCGCAGCCACCGTATCAGACCCGGCTCCCACAGCTGCAAGCGCCTGCGTGCCAATCTCCCGAACGGTAAACTTATCCGGATGCTTCTCGTGCTGCTTAAACCAGTACTGAACAGCATCATACCTTACATTCTCATTCTTCTCTCGATCGGCTAACACAGACGTGACAGTATCGAAGAGGTGGCCCATAGGTAAGATGGACAACCATGTCATAATTGGGTTGGCTAGCAGGGCGATGTTGATCCAGCGGAAGTAGCCCGCTACGGCAATATACGCGTTCAGAGCGAGGGAGTTTGAGATGGAGTTACCGATGTCTTTGCCTTGGGCGAGGAAACCGAAGGGTTTGGAGAAGACGATTTCGCCGATTACGTCGAAGGTTAGGTAGGAGATGTAGGTGTTGAGATGCATTGGTTTCTTCGCGGATGCGTATTTGTTCATCCAATCGAGAAAGGTTTCGAAGGTGTGGTCAATGTGCTCCTCAGATCGGAGCAGGTTGGAGACGGTATATGCCGCGGCTATGTATTTTGATTTCTCGATCTTCTTCTTGGGGTCGGTGGTGCTCATGGGTGATTGGAAGCGATAGTCTGGTAGGGCATGGATTTTGTACCAGTTTGCCTTGTATTCATGTTAATCGTTTCGTAGATCGATGGGCCTTTCAAAGTAGTACCTTGTGTAGAGGAGCTACGAGGATCTTCGCAATGGCATCTGGATGGCTGACGCTGACTTCGTCGTATGAGATGCGAACAAAGTGACCTAGAAAGACTGTGAGCGAACTATCGATAACAAGCGCTGTTGCATATCTTGTACACTTACCATGCTGTTCATGTAAGCGTATGAGTTCGAGGTTTTGATCGCCTTTCAGAACACGATGCATATGCCAAAGACGAGTGAAGGAAGAAGCAAACGGTCCTGGTATATCGCTAATTGCGGAGAAGTACCGGCGCCATGTAAGTAGAGTCAAGAGACTGATGCCTGCAATTGAAGTGATTAAAAGCCAGACCATATTGATTCGGTCTAAATGACTGATGTCTCTGTATAGTGGGAAGATATGCGGCGTGGCACTTGAGTGGGATGAAAGGATTCGAGCCTTGCATACTTTTGGAGTAGCGGGATGCGGCTTTAACCCAATCGGGCTTTTAGCGACATGCAATTCGAGATGGCTTAGATTACGGACCGTTAGCGCGGGGGAGGATGGGATCCTAAAGTTTTCCCATGGATACGCGGCTTGATACACTACGATACTGAGTAACTCAATGCAGGAGTGAATCGCTATGCCGAGCTATATATACCAAGTCTCAACCCAGCTCTAACGCAAGCCTTCGGACGTATGTCTTGAAGGCGCTATAATCTCGGTGTATGTCGCACATCCAGTTCAGTCGTCACAATGATTGAGTTCTGCCGGGATGACTTTACAGAATTGGAATGCGACTCCCCAAACCCGAAAACCAGTGGACTTGGTTGTTTGTGTATCCCTTCCACGAGCTCCACTTGCGACTCGTTGCCAGTCAGCCCTTGCTCTAGCCTGGTTATAGTTCCCATGGAAGCGCGCTTATTTCGAAGTCCTCGGCGCATCGACGAGAGATGGTATGGCTTTTCGTTCGATCGCTCGTAACTGCCCGCAGAGCTGTCTCTGCCTCTGATCTTACCCCACAGTGCTTTCATTGCGGGTAGATTCGCCGCAACGATCGCACATTGGACCTCGAATGATGCCACGATTATCATCTTCCCTACATCGATTGATAGGTCTGTCTTCATCGAGGATACCGACATGAGGATGGGTAGGCGGATGATTGCGACTGTGACGGAGATGATACCGAAGGCGAGGACGGAGACGACGGTGACTTTGCGGCGTAAATTCATTTGGAGGGTCAAAACGGAGGGTATCGGGAGGCATATAATGTAGAGGTCCATAAAGATGTTCTAAAGGCGACATGTGTCAGTATGCGCGCAAAACGTGGTGGCTGAGTGTAGGTAGCCAATACGTACAAGGATAGGTGGAGTGAGCATCATGACACGCATATCAATGCATGTAACCTCGGGGTGCAACATGGGGTTGAGGATCTTCTCAAATGGTACGCATTGTAGGACTGTCATGAGTCTAGATGCCGTCAGTCTGCGGCCATATGAACTGCGGATACCATTCAACTTACAAGCTGGAGAGGAAGACCGAAAACGCCAGTGCGAATCCAAGATATACGAAGCCACGGAACTTTTGGCCAACAGAAAGCCGGAGATAGAACAAGAGGAAGGTCATCTTGATGACTGAGTGTGCGCCATAGATCACGATCTCTTCAATAAATGATATCTGCGTACTTCATTAGTCCTTCTATTTCTCATGAGAATGCTGGTAGATACCTTACCCGAAGAAGATCGAGGGATTGGAAACTGCATTTCACATTGCCTGGTCTGTTGGAGTCGATGGTAAGTCTTCGCACAATCTCAGAAGATCATCCCCAAACTTACTTGCCACAGCCCAGGTTCAGAAACAGCTGCAGAACAATTTGATGAACAATACTGACGACCTGAGAGAATAAGCAAACGTGGAGACATCGCAAAGCTGGTCATGTTTTACCAGTACAAGACATGAAGCTGTATCATCCCAACCCCATGATCTCAAGACTAGTGCGCGAGAGTAGAATCGGGCGACCGAAGACAGCAAGCCGATTGCGAAAGTGACGTAGGCGACAACATACGCCCACTCGAAGAGGCTGAGCACCATACTGAAGCTGCAGGGTGGGAACTACTGCTGGAGGAGAAGGATGAACGAGCAACTCCACAAAGCAGAAACAAAGGAGATGTATCTTAGATCCAACTGCGCGAAGGTCAAACCTCCACCCTACACGATGCCCGAAACAGCGTTCACGCATCGACACGAAGCAAAAAACCTTTATCGCGTCTCATCTGGCTCGCTGATTTGCCTGACACACCGGGAATGCGCGCCACGGCACGACGTGCGGCGCAATTAAAGCCGGACCTGGTATAGCCATGTGTATTGTACCTCATCTCAGGGGAGACGAATGTTGATCTTATGTCGTTATGGCGGCAATCTAGATGGCGTGCGTGCTCAGGACGCGAAGAGGTACAGGCTGAGGAGCGCGGTTGAGGCCGCGAGGGGGTGACGAGCTATTCAACGGTCCTGCCGCCTTGGCAAAGTACACGCCAGGTGGTACTATCGTCGGGTAACTTGTTCATGATCGCGAATTGGGTGATTTGGGGGGTTTAGGAGATTTGCAGGAGAATTGGAGATGTTGGAGGGTGAGGCGTGGAGGAGTGGCTAGTCAGCAACCGTCAGAAGGGTCCAAGCAATGACTAGGAATGCACGTCATGGCGACGCATTGGCATTAACACTTAGTAATAGCGACGGCACGTAAAGGTACCGAGGTATCGACATGCCACAACACAAAATTTTGCGAAAACCATCGACACAATGCGAACGATTATCGCCCAAAAGACTAGATTACGGATGCACACTTCCTCAACTACACATCCTTCACAAACCCAACCTCAATAACCTTATCCATAGGAACATCCAAACTCGCAATTTTCGCTCTCGAGTTATCCCGGATGAACAAGAAAGCCTTTAGGAAGAACCGGCGGATGATGTTCGTACCGACCTTAAGCTTCATCTGCTCCTTACCAATGATGTACAATACCTCACGGTTGTACGCACGCTCAAGTGCTTCTAGACGCGCAGAAGTAGTTGAGCTGCGCGTTGGAGTCGATATGCCACTCCCAGCAACAGTCTCGGTAACCATAGTCTTCTCCGGCTGGGCGCCGGTAGCCTTGGCTGATATCTCGCCATCGCGTTCCAGGGCCCGTGCGACGATGTGGTTGCGGACTTTCTCGTAGATCAAAGATGCTAGATCTGGGGTAATGACTTCGTCCATGTAGCCATGGCGGACTACTAGGCGGTAGCAGTTGGGGACGGCGAGTCGCGAAACACTGTATCGGTTTTCTGGGGCGACGAAAGGTACTTCTAGCGGCCGGAGGTGGAAGAAGACGATGACCTCGGGGATGGTGACTAGTTTGCGGATAAACTGACTGAAGACGATAGGAGTTGTCTCGCCAGCTTTGTCGAAGAAGATGCCGAAGCCTTCCATGGTGCCAACGGACTTGCTCCCATATTGCTCGGTCAACTCTAGGCGGCCGTCTGGTAATGTCTTCACGAAATGCGTCGTTGGGAAGCGATCGCTAGCTTCAGCGCCCCATTGTTGTTCTTTGCCAAATCGCCAAAGGATGAATATGGATCCGAGAAGACAGGCAAGCAAGATGGTGAACCAAGCACCGTCTGGCACTTTGGTGAGTGCCGATGACAGGTAGGCACCGTCCAAACAAGCGATGGTCAGCCAAGGAAGAATCACAAAGTATGGCTTGATGCGCCACACTAAAATCGCAACGAGGGTAACCATGCAAGTGTCGAAGAATGTGACGAACATGACGCATACACCGTATGCGTTACCCAAGGATGTTGTGTTGTTGTAGATTGCAGCAACAAGTACAGTTCCAACCATCAGTAGCCAGTTGATGCTGGGAATATACAGCTGACCATGATATGTTGTCGAAGTGTGAACAACCTTGATCTGCGGGAAGTACGAAAGCTTCATGATCTGGGTCAGGAGCTGGAACGTCGCCGTGATCATGGCCTGAGACGCGACGATGGCAGCTGCGATGGCTACGATGAGCGAGAAGATGAGCCATCCTGGTGGGGCGCAGTTGTAGAAGGGGTTGGAGTATGCCTCCGGGTGCACACTGATGTAGGCGGCTTGGCCACTGTAGGCAAGCAGTAAACACGGGTAGGCGTATCCGAGCCAACTGATCTGTACGGCACGACGACTGAAGGCACCGATATCGGCGAACAGAGCTTCGACGCCTGTGAAGGCCAGGAGTATACCGCCGAGACTGCGCCAGCCTTCGTATTTGTTTCGTATTAGGTAGTCGAATGCGTAGAAAGGATTGAAAGCTTTTAGGATCGCGTAGTCGTAGCTGTAGTCGTCAGTCAAGAGTACTTCGAAAGTACCAAGAACACATACTTGGCAAGGTTATATATTCCGAACCCAGCGTTCAAGGCAAGCCATACAATGACGATGGGCGAGAAGACAAACGTCAGTTTCGTGACACCAAGCGGCTGCACGACGAACAGTAGAACGAGGATGGCACATGTGACACCGGTGATGGTCGACTTCTCGATATCAGGCTTCACGACGTTGAGACCTTGCACGGCACCCAAGACGGATTGGGCTGGAGTCAGAACACCATCAGCCATGACCATCGACACGGCTAGTACACCGATGACTTGCAGTAGGCCGCGAAAGAACTTGGACTTTTCAATGGTTGAGCGAATATTCCTTGTGGATCGGCCCAGGGTATCGGTATTGTGTCTCTCCATGCCTGCATGATAGTTAGTATAGGGAAACCTATGGCAGGATGCACACTAACGTATCAGGGTTGCTTCGCGTGGATCTCTGTTCGCGATATTTGCCTGCATACATTAGTGACTGAAGATCTCACGCAGGTTATTTGACGTACATATTTAGATAGCAAAGAGTATGTGCTGAACGTGCCGCCCTCTCCATCATTGTCGGCGCGTAGGATGATCAAGACGTACTTGACGGTGACCATCAAGGTGACAGACCATAGTATGAGCGAAAGGGCACCGAGTAAATTGATACGGCTAGGCGCCTCTGTGAACGTCGAAGAGTAAACATAGAGCGGCGATGTTCCAATGTCGCCATAGATGACACCGGTGGATTGGTATGCAAGAACGAGGATCTGTGTCAGACTGAAGACCTGCGTCGCGTCAGTGAGCCGGATCGCACCGCGCCATATGCCTCCTTACCTGACTGCGCTTAAAATCGCGCTCATCGCGCAGACCTGCATCTTCGTCTTCCGCGTCTTCCAGTTCGCTGATCTTCGCATCAACCGAAGTCCGATTCGCATGCGACTTCGTACGCGAGCGCATAGGATACACTCCGCCCACAGACTGCGAAGATCGGACTGGATGCAGGTCTGCATCTGCAAAGTGTATTGAGGTATCCATACCAGGCTGTCGGTGTTGTACGCAATGACAGTAAAGCAGTCTCGCAGGACTTATACCATCCCGTTATCTGGCCGCAACTGTGACTGTCTGACAATCTCATCTGGTAACAAGCTCTACCGCTGACGAAAAGCTTTGGTTGGCTCTTAGCCTTGGTGCTTATCGTGAGAACGGAATGCCCACGTGTAGTTAGCTGCTTCATTGTTTAGGCAGGATGGCGCAGCACTGCGGGATTTTCTTGAGCGTCGGCGCGCGGGGATGTGACTTGCAGCGCTTGCTTTTCGGCGCCGCAACGCCCTTGATGCAATGTCGCGGGGTCGTAAATCGCGCATCCCGTGAATAGTTGTCAGGAGAAATGGCTAAAAGCAGGATTTGGTCCTCAGCTCGTCGAGAAAGCACGCCATTCACAAGTATTTGGAAGGGTGTAGGTAGGGAACAACATTGTCGAGTAATCATCAGCCGCCATCGTCAGATTTCGAGCTTTGCATCATGCAGACTTCATGCACGAGTACCAGCTGAAGTTTGGCGGGGTGTGGGATGTCTTTGTGTATCGGGCAACTGCACCCTGAGAGATGATTACAGCTAAAATCGCCCTAAGCCAATCAGCGAGGGTCGCTAATGCTTGAGCGGGTCACCCCGCTAATGCTTGGTCTGACCTTCACAACACGCAGCCCGTGGGCCTCGACCATGCGTACGACGCTCATTGACAAACGGTTCGGTACCAGCTCTGCCTCGTTTCCTGGTAGCACTACCTAGCAAGTGCCCGTCGCGGCTCGTGTTTATGGATTTTCTTCATGTCAAAGGCCCGAAAACAAGGGTGCGATCATAACAGCGCATGGCCTAGCTGACGGTGACGTCGGTCTAGCAAAGCGTACCTGCATCTCGAAGCCGGTCATGTCGTTGGCACGGTGTACCAATCTTCAATTTGGGTGGACGCAATAGCCGCTGTATACTTGAGCCTTAGCATCATAATTGCTTTCCAGTTTCATCCCGCTGGATCCGAAGTGGAAATTGAGGGCCTCATGGAACGCGGCAGCTTTCTCGACTCAAAACGAGCAAGTTTGGAAAAAGGTGGGTAATCTGGTACAATATCAACGTACCTTACCACGTGATTGGCGCGTAGGTTTCCCTCGCGACGTATAAAATGTCACCCAGGCGTTCTCTGTCTTTCTCTTTACCTCACTTCTCAAGACTGATGAAGTATTCAAAACAACAAAGTTCTATCTTATGCTCCAAAAAGACCTTGAGTTCAATCCATGTCTGCTCGTGCGCCTGCTCTCGTTTCGAAATACCAAAAGCCCATCCAGTCCTCCCATGAGCTGCCATCTGCTACTTCCACTTCTACTTGATCCGCGTTTGATCCAGAAAAACACACCTATAGTTTATGTTGCTTTCTTCCTCCAAAAGACATCCAAACTGCTTACATGGAGAAGCACATTTCAAAGAACTTAGAACTTGTAACCAAAACAAGCTGCGGGGTATGCTATGTCTGAGCCTCTGAGCAACTCAACCCATTCAAAAGACAAGAAAATAATCGGATGGAGTTTTCCACAGAAAATCCTCGTTTACACGTTCATGTTCGCGTCTAAAACCAAGATGTCGCACGCAAGACACCATGGACGTTCGAGCTTTCGCTCCTTCCCGAAATTTTCCCCAGCACCCTGTATGTCTGAATCCCTCACGTCTCCCCGATGTATAAAGGCTTCCCTTTGACCAGCTCTTTACTCTCACCTCTTCACTGCAATCATTTTGTGCATATTCTAAAACCACAGATACACTTCTCATGTGTTCCGAAATTGCCCTCGCCAACTGGTTATGTTCCTCCCTCCGGCTGCCTTGCCTCTTTAAAAGGTTTCGAAACTACAAAATACCAACGCATGTGAACCGAAAAACCTCCCATGCTTTTTGGATGTCTTCTGCGCTCCTGCCTTTTTACCTACTTCTTTCACTTTATCATCAAAATACAGCTTACAGACTTGGCATATGGGAATCGTCGTTCTCAGACTCAGAACAAAACTGACGGACGGAGTCGCCATGGAGTCGTTCCTTCCTCGTGGTGGAACACGCGAGATTTGTGAAGAGCATTCTCATGTGCGACCTCCAGTCGAAAATCACAAGCTGGACTATGTATAAGCCAGCAGAGAATTTCCAAAAATACGGGTTTGAAGACCTCATGTGTTCTGCCTTTCGGTTTTGGGACAAAACTTCGACTAGCTACGTACCTATGCTTCTACTCTTCCGCAGTACTCTTGTTATCAAACCTGTTTCGTTCTTCCGAAACTCGTGAAACAATATCTTATGGGTTTGGAATTTAGATCGGAGGTATGAGTGATGGTGCAGCACGTACCTTTCGGTAGGAATGATGATGATGATGATGATGATGATCATCATCATCATCATCATCACCGACGCATACATCCTCACAGAACCAACACATAGTGTATTCATCCATTGTTCTAGTATATATCCATAACAAAAACAGCTCTATATGCCAAAGCAACACGTCCCAAAGCCTTAACCGACTCCCCAACTCCACATCATCACCGGGTATACCACGCTCAATTCATACAAGCACTGAACATATCGCTTCATCCCAGCATCTTCATCCACGCACGCTCTATACGCTGTGCACACACCGAAGACATCCACTTCAGAACGCCGTCCTACAACTCGTCGTGCGCATCCGGCTCAGGCATCGTGATAGGCTCCGTTGGCCTACCAAGTTCCTCATCAATGCTAACGCCCTTCTTGGCGCGGTACTTTTCCCACACGCTCCAGAACTCCTTCTCCATGCTCTTCTCCATTTGGTCGGGGAGGACGACTACGTACTCGACGTGCAGATCACCGTATTGCAGACCCTCGTGGGTTTCGAGTTGTTGGGCCCATACTGGCATGCCCTCTTCCTTGACGATTTCAACCATGTTGGGCTGAACGACTTCGCCGCGTTTGCGCGAGAGTTGGACAATGTGGCCGTCCAGGTGGGTGATGTTGCGTGTCCAGCCGCCCATCCATGCCTCGCGGAGGGAAAGCACTTCGCGCCAGAAGAGATCCTTGCCCCGTCTCCGGAAGAAGGTTCCGTCTGTGCGCTCGTGGTTTTGTTCTCCCATGGCAGGTTCGGCCTCGACGAGGTGGACAATGAGGTCGCCGGCGACGTAGTCGGGGCTTTCGTCTGCTTCGTTCTCGTAGGTGATGCGTACGCCCTTTGGCATGCCCTTCTCAATTTCGAGATCGTGTGATTCGGCTTCGCGGATGACTCTGCTACCGTGGCAGACCGGGCAAGGCTTCTTGATCGTCTTTCCTTTGCCGTGACATTGGTCGCAATGGACCTGCACTTGCTGGAATAGGCCGGGCGCGAGTTGCTGTCGCTGGATCCTGATACCACGCCCGCCGCATGTACCACAAGTCTCCACGTGTCCGTCTTCCGAACCTGATCCCTCACAGGCTGAGCAAATCGCTTGCTTCTCGATTGTGAACTCCGTCTTTCGGCCGTTGTAGAAGTCGCGCAGGGGTAGTGCGACCCGCACTTCCATGTTCGGTCCGCGTCGTTCTCCGCCTTGGTGTCCAAAGTGTCCTGAGCCGCCGAAGAAGCGCGAGAAGAGGTCGAAGGGATCGTGCTGGCGTGGACCACCGCCTTCCTTGTGCTGCTTGATGCCATCGTGGCCGTACTGGTCGTAGATCTTGCGCATCTCTTTCTTGCTGAGGACCTCGTAGGCTTCGGCTATCTCGACAAACTTCCCACTTGCCTCATCGTCGCCACTGTTGAACGTTAGAGATGTGAGCTGATATGATGGGTTTACGAACGTACGGGTTCTTGTCTGGGTGGAACTTCTTGCTGAGGGTTCGATAGGCTTTCTTGATCTCGCGCTCCGAGGCATCTTTCTTCAGGCCAAGTAGCTACAGTATCATGTTAGCAAGTGCACTTCATCTTGCAACTGAGGCGAAAGTACAGATGTGTACAGAGGACGCTTTTACATACCTTGTAGTAATCCTCTGC